CTTTGTGTGACTTTCTTATCATCTTCACGATATTTCTCGCTTTCGGCGACTATTATTACACAGATTTTTGTTAGTAAAAGGTTAATGCATAAATATATGGTTATAAAATTTCGGAATTTTGATTACATGCCCATAAGCTCGATTTCTTCCTTTGACAATCCACCTTTACCGTTTGTGATTAATTTATTCGAACTTCCAGTTGATTTATCAATAGCAAATACCTACAATTAATTAAAGTTAATACAATAAATACTATAAATATGTTAATAATAATGATAATTGAATATTAAATACGTACATTTAAGATACTGTTTGCATCAATAACAAATGTGACTTCGATTTGTGGAACACCCCTTGGTGCTGGCAGAATTCCAGTTAATACGAATTTTCCAAGAAAGTTGTTATCTTTAGTACGGGCACGTTCACCTTCATAAACATGAATCATAAAATCTGGTTGATTATCGAAATATGTTGAGAAAATTTCTGATTTCTTTGTAGGTATAGTTGTATTACGCTTTATAAGCGGTGTCATGACTCCGCCGGCAGTTTCAATACCAAGAGATAAAGGAGTGACATCGAGATAAAGTAAATCTTGAGTTATTTCAGTAGTATCACCAGATAAAATAGCAGCATGAATGGCGGCACCATAGACCGCGGCTTCATCAGGATTAACGGATTTGTTTGGTACTTTACCATCGAAGAACTCGGATACCATCTTTTGAATCATGGGAATACGTGTTGAACCACCGACCAGGACAATTTCATGAATTTGACTTTTGTCGATTTTAGAATCTCGAAGTACTTTTTCAATAGGTTCCATTGTAGATCGAAATAAGTCTTGATTCAATTCTTCAAATCTGGTACGTGTTAAGGAGGTATAGAAATCGATACCATCGAAAAGGGAATCTATCTCTAAGGAAGCTTTTAATGATGATGAAAGTTCACGCTTTGCACGTTCACAAGCTGTCCTTAATCGACGGAAAGCACGTGCATTCGTTGTAAGATCTTTCTTAAATTTTCGTTTGAATTCTTGTAAAAAATGATTTACAAGGCGATTATCGAAATCTTCACCACCAAGATGTGTGTCACCTGCAACGGCTTTTACTTCAAAAATTCCTTCCTCAATAGTTAGGAGAGATACATCAAAAGAGCCACCACCTAAATCATAGATAAGAACGTTTCGTTCTCCAGCAGCTTTCTTATCCAAGCCATAAGCAATAGCTGCCGCAGTCGTTTCATTAATTATACGAAGTACATTTAAACCGGCGATCATACCGGCATCTATTATAGCTTGGCGTTGAGATTCATTAAAGCAAGCTGATGTTGTAATTACGGCATTTCTAACTTGCGTACCAAGATAAGCTTCTGCGGTTTCCCTCATTTTTACCAAGATCATGGAAGAAATTTCTTCGGGTGTGAAATCCTTCTTTTCGTATTTGTATTCTACTTGAATATATGGCCTTCCATTCTTATCAATAACTTTAAATGGCCAGTGCTGAAAAAAAAAAAATAAAAATAAAAAATGAGAATTATAAATGCATTGTAAGATCGTATCTTATAATTTTTACCTTCATATCAGATTGAATTTCCTGGTCATTAAACTTACGGCCAATGAGACGTTTAGCGCTAAATACAGTATTATAAGGGTTCATGTTAACCTGATTTTTGGCAGCATCACCGATTAGACGTTCCGTTTCGGTGAATGCGACATATGATGGCGTCGTATGATTACCCTGGTCATTGGGAATAATTTCAACTCTTTCATTCTGCCAAACTCCGACACAAGAATATGACGTTCCCAAATCGATTCCAACTAAGTTTGTAAGAATTAAAAATTTAAACTTGCCAACTTTCGTATTCAAGGAATTAAAAAATTTTCTATTTAAGAATATATACCAGCTATTTCTTTATGCATTATGATAAATTATAGTATTATGTCAAAATATACAAGGTTTTATTAATTAGATAAAATTAGGGAACGGTAATCGTTCTAGTCCGAAGCATAACAGGACTTATAATAAAAATCAATAATTTATTTAATTTATGTTCAATTTTTTATTGTGTTCGATTTTTTTAATGTTCAGAATTCTATTGGGTGATCAATATGCAGGACGACATTGCGTTGAATTGTCATAGTATTTGATTGTCCTCATGCTTCGGACAAAAAAAAAAAAAAATTCTTCATTCAAATATACCCGAATGAAATAATCAACTAGCATTATTTAAAGAAAATCCAAAAAGTGTTTTTCTTTTCTATGATATGCCCAAATATAAGCAAATTTAACCACATGACCTGTTTTTGCTGCGCCATTAACGCCCAAAATAGAACACATGCGGCAAAAAATACACCATTAAGGTTTCTGGGCAAAAACCCGGAGTTTTTGACAGTCATCATCCGTCCGTCACTTTAAAAAGATCATCTAATTACACGAAAACTTAAAAGTGGTTACGCTTTACAATTATGTATGCAAATCTTTAAATTTAGTAAAATGAATTTTACAAGTTCCAAATTAATATAATCTCTTGAATGATTTTTTTTCTTTAATCGTTTTCTTTTACAATTTTTTGTAAAATAAAAAAAAAAAATGTCCATTGAATGTTTGCAGGGAGTTGCTAATGATTATGAAAGGTTATTTGAAAATGACACAAGTTATGATGTCATTATTTTTGCCGATGAAAATGAAAAAGTTAAAGAATTACGTGCGCATTCAATAATTTTACGTTTTAGGTCTCAATATTTTTTTGATGAATTAACTAAAGAAAATGTTGAAAAAAGGGAAGGAAAGTTTATTTTAAAAATACCAAACATTCCTCCAAATCTTTTTAAAATTATCTTAAGGTAAATAAAGTACAACAATTACTAAAATAATATAAACCAAGTTGTTAATATCACTTTGAATTTCAGATTTATATATTGCGGAAGGATTGACTTGACGAAATTAGAAGGAACTGAAATAATAAAACTCTTAAACGCAGCAAATGCACTTAATCTCCTATCTTTGGTTCCGAAATTGAAGATTATTTAATTCAAGACCATCATGAATTTTTACAATCCAATCCTATGGGAATTCTTGAAACAATTTATCAACAAGAGTCTTTCACGAAATTGCGGAACTATTATCTTGAAAAAATTTGTAAAGACCCCGAAGAGCTTTTTTATTCCGATAAATTTATCAGTATAAAAGCGATATTAATACATTATTCTCCTTTTATCACCTCCATTTGAATATTTTTCTTATTGAACGTGATTTATGACACAGAAATCAATGAAAGAATGAGTGTTGACCCAAAGGGTTCTACAAATAAAGTAAGTTTTATTGAGTTTTGTACTTGTTTAAGCGAAGCTTCGGTGCAAAAAGGTTAACCCACCTATATAGGTCTCGAATAATTTACCAGCAATCTATCCAATGGAGATCAAAATTAATTGCATAACCTTCTCTTTGTACCATTTTTCAATATTCTAGGGTGTAAACTTTGGGAATTCCACTCAAGCAACAAACTTTGAATGAAAAGTATCGCTTTAAACACATCCAAAGATGCTTTCGTAGTAAATCACATTATAATAGAGAATTTACATTAATTTTCTACAGCTGATCAGCTTTCACAACCAATCTAATAAATACCTCCACAAGGCGAAAATTTTATTCATCAAAATATCATTATAATTAATATGATTATTATTCACCTTATTATCATGCGATAAGCGTAAATATTTGATGGCATGAAGTATAGTGGTTACAATCTGTGAGAAAGCTTCGTATCTAGTAGAGATTTTTTGCTCGCAGATCATTTAATCGACCGAAATGGCATTAACTATTGTACTGGAATTGTATCGAAACCAAGCTAACAAACCAATAACTTGATAATTCAATTATCTCGAAGGTCTTTCCTAAGAGGAATAAACGATTTACAAACAAAACAATTTTATTATGATTTACTTTATAGTTAGTTATCATGATCAGATCCTTGTATGAAGAGTTGAGAGTGTAAAATAGTAACTTTATTAATTTGTAGGTTATAAGTCAAGTTCCAAGACTTATATCCAAAAACTTCTTTGGAAGAACTCTCTGAAGAACTCTGTCGACTCAAGGTCAACTTACAGGTCTATTTATATCAAATTGTTAACTAGTACTATACTACGCTTTTTGATAAATAAAAATAATACATATAATGAAAACTAAAGAATATAATATAAGTAATAAAAAGTAGACTATATAATATTTATATTAAAAAGTAAATTAAACGATACATGTATTATAAAGTTGATCAAACGATATCATTTTTGTAACATTCGGCGCAGTTGCAGATCATCAAAGGCGCGACTAACACCGGTTAAAACTTAACCGCTATTTAAGATATATATATATAGAATTTCTAAAAGTAATTTCCTTAATCTTTCAAATTTTATTCTGTTTTCACCAATTAAATTTTCAAGATGGGTCGCGAACGTTAAATGAAAAAAAAATCATTTTAATGGAATTGAAACTTTGTAAGATGTACTAGGATCTTATCTAGTGATACCTGCCGTGGCAAAATTTTGGCGTCGAGTAAGTCCTTTTAACCAACTAAGCCGACTCATTTGAACAAGCATTCATAATAATAAAGAAAATTTCCAAAGATAAATACAAAAGAAAATAAATTCTGAATTACACATCTGTATAGGTAACAAAAAATTTTTGAAGAAATTTATTGATCGAAGTAATAGTTGCTGGTGGATCGAAATCAATCGCTCTGGCCATCTATGAAAACGATAATGAACTATATGGCGATTTAAAAAGAGAAATAAGATGAAATTGAGAATAAGTGGGGAAGAAGGTGATGAAGGTATTATGAAGGAGGAGTTCGAAAATAATTCATATTTGAAAGAGCGGGAGGTGAGAGAGGAATAGAAGGAGAAGAAAGCGAATTTTTAATTTTTATTGAAAATTTTTATTTAGAAAAGTGATATTCCAATGCTTCTAAGTTTCGGAAGAAAATATTGCTTATGAAGTTTGAAATGATCAATTGCACTACGAATTGAATGTATAATAATTTTCCTGAACTCGTCATACTTTTGACTTTGAATTCTGAAGTTCTCAAAGCTTGTAAGCTTTGATCGATCTTATTAAAGACGGAAAAGGTTGTAAAACAAATTGGAATAATACAGAATACAGAATAAACATCGACAACAACTTTTGGGCTTACACGTAAATCTCTGTCATCGAATTAATTGATTTACAGCACTAAATGTAAGATTTTGCAATATAATATCAATTTCAATGATTAACTCACTATCTTTTCCATTTCTTTTAATTTTAAAGAAATTCTAAATTATCGACGGTAGTTTTTTTGCCTATGTAAACATATGGATGTTTGCTATTAAAATCAAGTTACATATGTAGTAAATCATATGTGATTTTAATAGCAAAACCTCCATATATATGAACCAAAATAATATTTTTTATTTATGGACAACGATTTCACTAAACTTATTATGTGGTTTACGCATTTCATTAAGCGGATATTCAATGATCAGATATACAATAATATTCGGAATTCTTAAACGAGGCAATAGATTGCGTTCATATTGAGTTAATAGCTCGTTAATAACGATGGCCTTTTGGACTAACAGACATTTGGGAAATTTGACTAAAGGAACCAATGGACTTATCAAATTTTATTGAACTATTGACTTATATACAATTCCGATTGCCGAATTTTACATAAATTTATTAAATAAATAAAAAAATTTTTTGAAACCTGCCTGACTCAAAATATTCCATGCATGAAGTAATATGAATTATTTTGTAACAATTTTTGATTAAAATTAATTGGTTATTTCTTATTTTTTCAATAGCGTCATTTTTCATCTTCGTAATAGTTTATAATCAAAGATTCTTAGAGATGTTAAAGAAAAATGAAATTTTGTAATATTAAAAAGTAGAAATCATTGTAACATTGTTAATAAATAAGTAATCTCAGTTTTTTACAATGTAATAAATCCAAAAGCGTAATTCTATAAGGATCTAGTATTATCATTTATCCTTTCCTTTATTGATTGCTTTTTTAATTTATCTTCATATCCAAGTAGGTTGTTAAAAGTTCTATTAAAATTTTCAAAAATTAGCGTATATAAAAATAGTTATTATTTTACATTATTATAGTAAATCAAAAATTTGATATTTGTTTAAATTATTATTTTTAAATATAATATTATAAATCAATCAAACCGAAATTTTTGATTTATTTAACTTGGTTGAATAATATATAAAAATAACTTCATTAAATTTATGTTCTTCTGCTGGTTTTTATATAGACTTCAAATATAATTAATGATCACATTTTCTATAATTGAAGTATTCAATAGGAGTTATAAATAGATTAAAGTTGTAAAATTATACATTTCACAAGCCAAGCAAATTAATTTAGTTTACTTTTAATCTTGGAATAGCATCAAAGCTGCCTGTTTCTTCTTTCTTTGTTTAATTCTTATTACAGAAGCATGACTTATATTTTCGTGAGAAGCAATTGTACGACTTGGTAAACCTTCTTGAATAAGGGCAAAAATACATTCCCTTTGGTGAAGTGGAATCGCCTTCATAATATATTTTTTAAAAAAAAACAAAAGAAAGGCGTATAAATTGATCTACTGATTTAAATTTACTTATATGTATAAGACGCGTCACACGATCATAACTTTATTATATTAATTTTGATTCCAAAAGTATTGTACCACAAAAAAATTGCATATAAAGAAATTTTTTAAAAAGCCACAAATTAAGTAATACTCAAATTTAAATATATTAAAAATCCGATTACAGGCTTTCAATTGGTTTAAAATTTTAGCATAATTATTCAGGTATCACGATCTAAAAATTAAAAATGAAGTGGTACAATAATTATGGAAGTCACTGTATTTATGGTGGTACTATTTCATTGGAGCATGAAACTTCAGACATGTTTAAAGTTCTAGTTGCTGTTAATCAGCTTCACCTTCAAGAACTAGTTGATTATTTACAAAAATATTTAATAAAGAATAAGTCTGAATGGATTGAACAACATTTTGAATTTACATGACTACAACAATTTTGTACTATTTTATGACAAGACACCCAAGAAAGTATTCAAGTCTTTCGCTTTTACTTCACTTCCTGAAAAATCCCTAATTTCACTTATTAAAAGAAACGATTTACAGATTAAAGAAGTTGAAATTTGGAAGTATGTATTAAAATGGGGTCTTAAAAGGAATCCTACACTTCATCCGGATCCTATAACTTGGTCAGAAAAGGATATCGAAATCATGGAAAATACATTAGATTTTTCGCTTTATCATCTGAAGAATTCGTCAAAAAAGTTCGTCCATATAAAAAGCTTTTGAATCATCAACCTTATATATTGAAATTATTATTAAGAGGAAACCGAGACGGATTTGCTCCTTATACTTTTCATAGGTTATGTGTCAATATAATTCGTACAGTTATATTCATTAAAATAAAGGGAACAGAAGAAATTCTTGGGTGATATAATCCTTTAGTATGGGGATCCACTATAAACGGTATATGTGGTCAAATCAAAGATAGTTTTATATTTTCTTTTAAAAATAAGGATACTTGAAGAAGAATTTGCAGTATTTTATAGAAACTATTTTAGTCCTACATTTCATAGAGATCTTATTATAAGTAATGACAGAAAAGTCGGAAGGGAAAATTATAATAAAAATTTTTGTAAGAAAGATGGATATGAACAAGCAATAAGAGATACAAAGGAAAACTTTTCAATAGAAGAATATGAATTATTTCAAATTTGCATCAATTAGTTGAGAGTTAAAAGAAAATTTTCGTAAACTTTACAAGATATTTACTTAGTATCAATTTAACACTACTTTTAAAAGGGCATAAATTCTTGCGCCTATCCAAATATAATTTAAACAAGCTTTGTTCAGGTAATAAAATATTTGAATCTCCACATAACAAATACGATGGTGAAAAAAAGCAAACGAATATAATGATTATTCTTCTTCTATATAACGATAAGCACTAAAATAAATTTTAATTTTTTGATTATAATTTTTTTTAAAAATTAAATTTGAAGTTATATAAAAATAAAGTATATGAGTATTTTAATTGCAAAAAGAAAAGACAAAACAGCCAATTTCAAAAAATAGATACGGTTACGGAACGACAGCCTTCTCACCGAAATATGTATGACAGACTATCTTTGGCCGACATCCTTTGACCGACACCTTCAATTCACCGAGGACATTTCACAAATACCTTCATTTTACTGACATTTTAAATATATAAATAAATGATATTTATGCAAAAAAACAAAAATTAAAATGTTTTCAATTATAAATTAATTGTATTGATACTTCTTTATAAAATTCAAATAAGCAAATTAAAGAAATATTGCAATTTTGCTATTATTAGGTGAACTACTTTTAAGTAACCAAAGTAAGCTCATAAAGCATACATGGATTCTCCCATTATATTAAATGTGTTTGTAATGATTTTGCTGAGATTAAATGTGGTTCACAAATATTATTCTAATTTCATTTGTAATTTAGTTGTTTATTATTGTTCTTTAGGCAGTAAGGGGAGCCGTATATCGGAAAATTGGTGGTTTTGGTAAAATGACCGCATAGTGAAATGAATATCAGCAAAATTGGTGTCGGCTAAATTGGTTGTCAGTCAAAAGGTATGTGGCTGTTGGCTAAATAGATTGATTTACAAGAAAGAGTCGGTAAAAAGAAACAACTTTATGAACCACTACAAATAGAGGCAAATATTAGAGGTTATACTTACATTGTTTAGATTGGTATTGAAGTCCTCTATACAAATTGCGAAAAAGTATTTATTTTTTAACGCAATATGTGATAGATATCACAAAAAAAAAAAAAAAAAAAAATTTTTTTTAAAAAAAATTTCCTCAGTCTCTTGATCGAATCTTATTTTGCCTTATTTATTATTCGTGTGTATTTGAAGATAAGTTCCTCTTTGTACAGGAACGTCGAGAATTGGATAGACTGACGCAAATTTTGCAATTAAAGAGAAGCACGATACCATACAAAAGCTTTATATTCAAGAAGCTGGATACAATTAATTTAATAAAAAAAAGATATTTGATGCAGAATAAGCTTTCAAATTAACCTTAAATTTTTATAAATGTGTTCACATATGCAAATATAGAAACATCCAAAATATCATAACAATAACTCCTCAAATAATAATTTTATTTTTACTTCCTTTGTTTCTCGATATCGTATATACAAATCACAAGATCAAAGCTTCAGCATTGGCCAGTTGCGTAATGATCAAATCAGTGCGACGCCTCAAAATATCTTCCGAAGCTGATCCAAACCGTGCTGGTGTGGCTTGAATTTATCAGGGATAATAATTTCCCATAACTAATCATATCAGAACTTGCCGGATTTATTACAGCTGCAGAAACATGGGAGGTTTGCTATTAAAATCGGGTTACGAACATAGTAATTCATATGATCCGTAAGGTGACTGAATAGCTTACCTCCCACATGTTGGCGACAAGTGCTGATTAACAGGCGATTATTTACATTATTTATAAAATTGTTGGCGTATCGACCTGTAAACTTGGCGAATGGGTGACTATCCTAAACTCCGCGTATGGTATGGTGCATAGGGCGTCGTTCTTTGGCTTTCGTTTTGCACTCCAACTAGTTTCGTACATTTTGATAGGATCTGTGTACCACTTTTCATCATCCTGCCAGAATTTAATAATTTACTTCTAAATAACAATATTCAAGGTAAAAATATTCAAACTCGTGCACCTGACATAATTACATTTCGACAAGTTTTTTATCATGTTTTGAATCTTGTATTCTTATATCGGTCCAACTGCGGATAACTAAACATTACATCAAATCTTGTATCGATTAGTTGTAACCTCTCATTTGTCGCCTTACCTCAAAATTTTTATCAAACCGACTCGAGGATATATTTGGTTTTTCTAAGGGAATTTGAAAGCAAAAATAAAACTCCAAAAAATTTGTAACCCAATTTCTTTCTTGCCTATTCCTTTGAAAATGCAATTTTAAAAATATGTCGACCTTGAAATTAAGATTAACGAATGTACAAAGAATTCTTCGTGTCTTGACTTTTTTCAGCTTGAAATATTGCATCATAGATGTAACCGTAAAGACATGTTTCCCGATTACCTGCCATGATAAAAAAAAATTGACCTATTAGAATCTACCGCAGCTTGACAATCACGTCTTTTAAGTTGATTATCATGTGATTTTCGTAACTTTTTGAGGATAAATATGTGACGATTCCATCCAACGATCAACTGCTAAAAGTTATTTGCAAACATCAATATAGGAATAATTTTTTGTAAATGTAATAATTTATGAATAAGGCGCAAACAGTTCATTAGTCATAGTATATATAAATCGAGGTTATCGAGCTTTCTTGTTAGTTTATTATTTTTGAAATTATTCACAAAGTATCATTTACACACATAAGAATACATATCAAAAGAGAAAGAATTTTTCAATAAAATGTGATTAAATCATTGACGATCGATGTCATATTTCCACTTTTTTATTTAATTTATTTGTTATAGTGATTACAAACTGTAATAGTTATATAATAGTTACTCTTTTATACAGTGTTCACCAAACAACATATTATAAAAAGTCGTTCAATGATTACAAACTATGATATGCAAATATATCAAAAAAGAAGTAAATGATACGAAATAAAAATTATGAAGATAAAAATTTTTTTCATCTCTTTTAAGAATTATCAATACTATGATAAAATGTGTTACTTGATTAAACTTTCATTAAGTTTTTCAGTAAAATCCAGCAAATGACTTGAAGGATGTGACTTAATAATAATAGGTGTATTCAAAACGTTGCTTTGATTTTGATTTAAAATTTTATCTGCTTCATAAAATTCCATGATCTCCTTTTTTAGTTCCTTATCAAAATT